CCTGTCGTTGTCAACACTGCTTTCTGCCCCCGAGGGGGTGCACCGTTCCTGGAGGTACTGCAATACCAGGTCGATGCGCGGAGTGGACGGAGCAAGCTCCTATTCCATCTCCCTGCTCCAAAAATGCATTTAATATATTGTCCTCGGATAGAGGACGTATCAGATATTAAACTGATAAGAACAGATACTACACTTGATCTTAGCCAAAAGGCCGAGAAGCGATGCCCGTAGCCCGTCCCCTCGCCGTCGCCGTCGCACTGTCATCCATATTCAAGTCACGGTGAGCCGCGTCGCCCTCGGGCCACACCCTCGGATCGCCCGCCGGCGGTTCCCTCCGGCCGCGGCGCCGCCGCCTTGTCCTCGGCACTCCCGGTCCACGTTCCCACCCGGTTCCGAGCCCTCCGGTCCTCCCCGGGAGGCCCCGGCGCTCTTTGCATGCCCCGCCCCGGAGGGCGTGGCCCCCAGGGTCGCGCTCCGCCCGGGCCCCGTCGGCCCGGCACCACCCCGGCTTCCGCGGAAGCCCGCGCGGGCGCTGGAGGCCGCCGCGCCTGCCGCCCGCCGCCCCGCTCCCGGACGGAGGCGGGGGCGTTGGGGTCGGGCGGCGGGAGGGCGTCCGCGGAAGGGAGCTGTGGGACGACGGCGGTCCGCGCGCTCCCGAAGACAAGCCGCGGCGTCGTCGCGGTGCGTCCGGTACAGGAGCGTCCTCCCGGGGCCGCCAGCCGGGGCCCCGACCTGGGGCGGGAGCGAACTCGGGCGGGGGCGAGGGCGCCGGTCTCCGCCCCGGCCCCGCGCCCAGCCTCCGCGACCCAGAGCCCCCGCTCCGCCAGGCGGGCGCCCGTTTCTTCCCTCGGTTCTCCGCGAAGCCTGCGGTGAGCTGCAGGGCCTGGGAGGCTCCACGGGCGGCCCCAACCTCCCTGACTCCTCCGTTCTGTCGGCCCTGCGGGGCACGAACCCTCACCCCACCGGGGCCTCGCGCCCGGCGCTGCGCTGCACTCCCTCCTACGTCTTAACCTGCTTGCATCCTCGAGACCCTAGAGCGGGCTGAAGCTATTATCAGCTCCTTTCGCAGACGGGATAACCGAGACCAGAGAGGTTGAGAAACGTGTCCGCTGCCACACAGCGAGCAGGCAGCCGAGTCAGGATTTGAGCCCAGGCGGCTGACCTGCGGGCCTCACCCTGTCCCAAGACCACCGCCCGCGTCTGGAGCCCAGGTCCCGCTAAACCGACGGAGTCTACGAGAGGGAAGCCCTAAGCGCAGGAGGGGAGGAGGATTGCTGGTCGGACACGCGCGGGTCGGCCGGCGCGAGGCCTGGAACGCGGTGGTTTTGCTAGGGGCAGGGGACATCCGCGGTCACGTCCCTGCCCGACCGTGCCCGGGCTCTCGGCTCTGTGACTCCGGGCCTGGGCTTTCCCCCTCTCGCGTGGGGAGCGGACGATCGCCCTCTCCCCGGTTCTCAGCGCCGCGCCAGGGGCCGCGGGACCCCCAGGACGTTGCTCCCCTTCTGGACAGGTCAGCTCTGAGGCCCCTGCGGAAATGCCCGGCGTGGGTCGGCCCTGGCCCTCCCTGCGGCCGCAGACGTCTCTGCCGCTCACTTCTGGCCGGCACCAGGCCCTCACGAAACCTCCCGTGGGGCCCGTGGGAGCCACCGCGCCCCCCCACCCCCACCCCCACCCCAGGTGCCCCTCGCGCCCCAACCTGGCTTTGAGTTTCCCAGTCGCTCGCACCAGCCCCTGGTGGTCTTTTGTTTTTGTTATTTTTTCTTGCCCGTGGAGGAAATTTGTTGACTCGAATTGGGTACAAGGAGATTACGTCAGAGGTCAATCAAAATATGGGGTTTTTTTTAACAACTTGAGGTATAACTGACATATAAGATTACATTAGTGTCGGGTGTACGCCGTAACCATTCGGTAGCTGTACACAGTGCGAAATGATCACCGCCGTAAGCCTAATTACCATCTGTCACCATACAAAGTTACAGATTTTTTTTCTTGCGATGAGAACGTACTTCATCTTTCATTTTTTTTTTTCAGGAAGATCAGCCCTGAGCTAACATCTACCGCCGACCCTCCTCTTTTTGCTGAGGAAGACTGGCCCTGAGCTAACATCCGTGACCATATTCCTCCACTTTATATGCGCGCCGGGGGCCACAGCGTGGCTTAACAAGCGGTGGGTCCGCACGGGGATCCGAAGCGGCCAATCCCGGGCCGCCAAGCGGAGTGCGCGAGCTTAACCGCCCGGGTGAGAACTTTTAAGATTTACTCTCTTAGCAACCTTCTAACATGCAATACGGTGAGATGGACTCTAGCCACGGGGCCGTCCATCGCATCCCCAGGACTTCTCCGTTTTATAGCCGGAGCTTTGGGCCCCTTGACCCGCTCCTGACACGTCACCCCGGGGCTTTGTCCTTAGCCCGGCCACCCCCCGGGCAGATCCCACCCGGACTCCTTCCTCCACCGCTCTGTCTCCTGCACTTCCACCTCCACCGGCGCCCGCTCAGCCCCTGAGTGTTTGCCGAAGGGACGAGCGAATGGATCGGGATTGAACGAGACAGTCCATCAACCTCGCCCACCCGGTGCCTGGCACGTGGTTAAGGACGGCGGCTCTTCGGGCCTCCCGGATCCAAGACCCCTCTGCTCGGGCCTGCGTTCTTCGGTGGTCACTTTGTCAACGTTGTCCCAGGTATTTGGACCCTCAGACAATCGCGTTCCTGGCGGAGAAGGGGCTCCCGTCGACGTTGCTCGCCTCACCGTCTAGTGCGCGCAGGGGCCTCCTGGGAGCCTGGTTCCCTCCAGCCGGGACCCGGTCGCCGGCAGGCACCCAGCCTGCTCAGAGCCGCGTGCACAGACAGCCGGGACCGCCCAGCTGCGGTTGGCACCGGGCCTCGTCCAGGCGCCATGGGCTTCGCTAAGGCGCTGCACCCTCATGGTCCCTGGTACCGGCGCCCCAAAGGACTGGGGAGCCACGGCTCAGAGACGGGGACTCCAGGAGCACCCAGAGAGTTTCTCAAGCTGTTCCTGTTTCTGCAGCCTGGCTAACCGAACCCACGGTGTTATCAGACTCTTGGGTTTGGGCCAAACTCACAGGTCATAAGTAATCTCTCAGGGGCCGGCCTGGTGGCCCAGGGGTTAAGTTCGCACATTCCGCCTCTGCAGCCCCGGTTCGCTGGTCCGGATCCCCGGTGTGGACTTCGGCACTGCTTGTTGGGCCGTGCGGTGGCAGGCGTCCCACGTATAAAAGTGGAGGAAGATGGGCACAGATGTTAGCTCAGGGCCAGTCTTCCTCAGCAAGAAGAGGAGGATTGGTGGCAGGTGTTAGCTCAGGGCTGATCGTCCTCAAAAATAAAGAAAGAAAAATAGGTTCTCTCTCAGTGCCATTTTAATATGCACGTCTCCCTCTACAGAACCACGTTCATTACCAGTCCCGTGAGCTGTGTGAGCTTTGCCCGTGTCTTACTGAGCGGTTGGGTTTTGGTAGAAAGTTGACTTTTGGAGTCGGAGTCACAGAGGAAGGAAGGGTTGGGTCGTCTGGGAAGAAGCCGTCGAGCCGGAGCGAGGGCTGTGAATGGCTGACTGGGGCTGGGGAGCTCACTGCTTTGAAAGACGGAGAAGGGCGGAGGCAGGTTTCTGCAGGGGGAGAGCCTCGGCACCCATGCGGCCTGACTAAGGCTGGGCCGCTCAAAGGGAGGCTCTGAAACGCCCCCGGCCCCTAGAGGAGCCCCGCGGCCCCGGGGTGAAATGGCTGGGCCCTCGCACCCCCACCGTGCTCGGGATTGAGGTCCCCCGGAAGGGGTGTCCAGCCGCGTGTGGCCTCCATGGCCGCTATCGTGGCCCCACTGTTCACGTGCCCATCGTGCCAGGCCTGGGGTGGCCAACCACAAAGGCTGGCAGGGTCACTCTGCCTGTCGGTGGCTTGTCCAGGGCCTCTTTATTTATTTATATATATTTTTTGAGGAAGATTAGCCCTGAGCTAACTACTGCCAATCCTCCTCTTTTTGCTGAGGAAGACTGGCCCTGAGCTAACACCCGTGCCCATCTTCCTCTCCTTTATATGTGGGACGCCCACCACAGCAATGGTTTTTGCCAAGCGGTGCCACGTCCGCACCTGGGATCCGGGCCGGCAAACTCTGGGCCCCCGAGAAGCCTAACGTGCGCACTTAACGGCTGCGCCACCGGGCTGGCCCGTCCAGGGCCTCTTATTCAGGCCCCTCCTCCTGCTCAGGCTGGATCCTGGTCTACCACGTCCACCTTCTGATGGCCCTGCTGCGGCCTCGGCCGCTGCTGCTGGCCCCGCCCCGCCCCGCCCCGGACGTCACGACCTGGAGGCCTGATGGACAGTCCCGGACCCGCGGTCCACATCCGTCTCTCCCAAGGCCCAGTAGCGTGCAGGGAGCTGCTCTTCAGAAGGGAGAGAAGTCTCTGCTGTAGGTGGCCTGGCCTGGCCTGGCTCTGGGAACCCGAAGGCCCACGCTGTGATCCTCCACTGTGGCTCGATGGCCGTAAACTCCACACAGCATTTCTTCCTGGCTGACCTGCCCCCTGTCCCCAACACGACAGGGTCCACCGGGTCGTGCGGCCCCCGCCCCCGCACTGGGAGGGCTTCACAGCCCCTCTGGGCTCCGGGCCGGCGTCCAAGCTGAAGGTCCTTTGCGTCAGCGGTGTGTGTACTTGCAGGGGTGGAACGTGATGCTTCCAGAACCGGAAGAGGCTCCCGGGGCCCTGGGCTTCCTTCCCAGTGGTCGGGGGACAAAGAGGCAGCAACTTCCCTCTGCTTTGGAGGGGACGCCCCGCCCGCCCCGGACAACAGGAGCCCCTAAACACTCTGCTGCCCTGTTTCACCGGAGGCTTCACTTCCCTCCCTGACTGGGGGGCCCGGGAGCCCGAGAGTCTCATGGCCGCCCCTGGCGTGCCGGGCCCCCAGCTTCCCGCCCCATCCGTGGCGACCGTACCGAGCAATGGGCTCGCTCTGCTCGCCGCCCTCTGAGCCAATTAATCACAACGAGTTAGAGATGGAGAAAGGAAGTTTAATGGGATTAGCCGGCCAATCGGAAGACGGGTGAGTCATGTCTCAAAAACCCCTCTTCCAGAATTACAGAATCTTGAGGCAGTTACACAGGGGAAATGAGCAGTAAGGAGGGGGTTTAGAAATGGCCGTGACGGGATGCAGGCACGACACTGTTCCATTTTCCTGTCAGCTGTGACGGATACTGTGTAGGTGTGACCTGTGGTCAGCCTGTTCCTGGAGAGAAACTCACAGAACAAAGTTTTAATTTATCGAGCTATGCGGGAGTCCATAGTAAGCGGAGCCCATCCACCGGGAGAGCACGGGGCCGTTTTGAGAGTACGTGCAGAGCAGCGACTAGTCACCCAGCGGAGGGGCGGGGGCCACTCTGCGTAACGAAATGGCCTCACTTTTGGTCACGTACAGGATGCCACGGAGGGAGCGGATCGATACTCCTACGCATCGTCTGCGCGATGCGCGGGCGCCACAGACTGGAGAGGACAGACAGGGGCGCGGAGAGGTAAGGTCGCCCCCGGGGGAAGACGCCAGCGCATACCCGTGTTTCTTTTCCCCTGTCACCTCTCGATCTTTGCCCGTTTCCTGCTGGGTGTTCAGCTGTTTCTCGTCAGTTTCTAGGATCTCCTCATATCATCGGTGATTATGCTTTTCTGTGATCTATTGGCAATTTTTTCCTCAGTTTTTCATTTGTCTTTTGCTTCGCGTATGATGTTTTGTGTTCTGCAGAGAATTTAGGTTTTCTGTAACTCAAGTACATCAATCTTTCCTAAAAGTTGGGCTTCCGGATTTTGAGTCACAGTTAGATGGCCTTCCCCAACGCCAAACTTATCCGACGATCTATCATCCGTCTATTTTTTGCCCCTTTTCGATGGGGCGTTCAGCTGCTCCTCAGCAACTTCTAGGCTCTCTTTCTATCATTGGGCAGGATACACAGAAAGCGACGCCTTGCCTCCCTTGAGGGTATCTTTTGCCGACAAACGAGCGTGGGCAACTCGTGAGAAGAAATGGTTTTCAGGGATTCCAGATTAGGAAATGATTGTGGATCCAGGATGACTGACTGTTCTGTTTTCTTTCTCTCGGAGACTAGAAACTTTCTCAGAGCAGGGGTCTGTCTTTGTCACGCCTATGGCCCCGTTCCCCGGTCTTAGCACACAGTCGTCACTCAACAAATATTCCTGGAGTGGATGAACCCTAATTTACACTCTTCATCCGGGAACCTGAGCTCGCGGCGGATGCCTTGGTAGTAGAGGTGTATGTCCCACTCTCTTCTCGAGTGGAAAGCTTCCACCCGGACCCTCTGTGCCTTTCCACTCTCCACCCCTAGGTAATCCCTGGATCAGACAGATCAAAACACAGTTATCATCGGGGGCCGGCCCCATGGCCGAGCGGTTGAGTTCGCTCGCTCCGCTTCGGCGGCCCAGGGTTTTGAGGGCTCGAATCCTCGGCACGGACGTGGCACCGCTCGTCATGCCACGCTGAGACGGCGTCTCACATGGCACAACCAGAGGCACTCACAACTAGAATATACAACTATGTACTGGGGCTTTGGGGAGAAAAGGAAGGAGAAACAAAAAAAGAGAAGATTGGCAGCAGTTGTTAGCTCAGGTGCCAATCTTTAGAAAAAACAATACAGGGGCCGGCCCTGTGGCGCAGCGGTGGAGTGCGCACGTTCCGCTCCCGGCCTGGGGTTTGGCGGTTGGGATCCCAGGTGCAGACACGGCGCCGCTCAGCAAGCCATTGCTGTGGCAGGCGTCCCAGGTATAAAGGAGAGGAAGATGGGCACAGATGTTAGCTCAGGGCCAGCCTTCCTCAGCAAAAAGAGGAAGATAGGCAGCAGATGTTAGCTCAGGGTTAATCTTCCTCAAAAACAAAGAAACAAACAAAACCATGCAATTATTATCAACTGTATGTATGCATCATGTTTTTAAGCTTTCCATATTTCAGGATGCTTTGGCATCTTGAGGGCCTGCCAGCCTGGAGGAGACTGCCCCTCCGGGGCTAGCTGACCCCCAGGGACGGTAACCTACTTGCCTGCGAGCCCGCCTCTCATGTGCAAACGCACCAGTCCAGAGCCCGTGCCCGCACCCCCTCCTTTATTTACTCTCACACTTCTGGCCCATCTTGCCCCTGCCCGCTGTCCCCCCAGAGCCAGGTACCCGACAGAGAGACCACCCCTAGAGCCCAGAGCCCACCCGGCTACATCCCAGCCATCCAGTCGGAAGCTGGCTCAGACTTGCCTCCCCTGCCTCGGCCTGTCCTCCCCGGCCCTCCTCAATACAGGCCATGCTTTCTCCTCTCCTGCCTCCCGGGCGCTTCCCCATGTGGCTCTGTGTGGGGTGGCACGCCCCCCTGTCTTGGGAACTATAAGTAATGACACTTCCTTCAACGGTGCTGACCTCTCCTTGTTGTCACTCAGTCACCTGTATAAATGAAATCCCGGGCACAGTCAACACGCAAGGAAGTGAGAAGCCCATAATTTTTGCCTCGGTTCCAGGTGGATCTTTGTGGCTCTCAGCGGGAGCTGCTCGGTAACGATCGTCTTTTGGGGGTGGGACATTGAGATCAAGAAACATTGGGACAGGAGCAACGTTAGAGAAATCAAGAGAAGCCAGGAATTAACATCTTGAAGGAATTAATTGGAGTGCTGTGGAGGCCAGCGAGTGCAACAAGGAGGGACACGGGGAGTAGAGACGGAAGACGTGAGACTGAAGCTCCTGTTTCTGTTCCTTTTTTTTTTTTTTAAGGAAGATTAGCCCTGATCTAATATCTGCTGCCAATCCTCCTCTTTTTGCCGAGGAAGACTGGCCCTGAGCTAACATTCGTGCCCATTTTCCTCTGCTTTATAGGTGGGACGCCTGCCACAGCATGGCTCGACAAGCAGTGCCATGTCCGCACCCAGGAGCCGAACCGGCGAACCCCGGGCCGCCCAAGCGGAACGTGCGCACTTAACCCCTGCGCCACCGGGCGGGCCCCACTGTTCCCTTCTGAGGCTGGTGTGAGAACGGTCTTGGAAGCAGCAAGAGGGAGCAAGGACACCCGTCCCTTTCTAGTTCCTACTGAATGATGGATGTGGGAGAGACATCCCCTGGAAGGGGAGTCGGGAAACGGCGGCGGAAGAGGAAGAATTCCACTCCCCGCCCTCTTCTTTTCCCTAAGGTTCTCGTGGCTGGTCAAATTTTTTAAAAGGCAGGTTAGCAGGAGGAAATCAAAGGTTAATTAACATGTATACTTGGGAGAAACCCAGGCAACCTGAGCAACTCGCCAGAATGGGCGAAGCTGCCACCTTAGTATGCATCTTGAGCTAAAGACAAAAGAGGAGGATGGGGGTAGTGGTTTGGGATTTCAGAGGGGAGGAAGACAATTTCCTTGGAGATGGCAATGCAAATGTTTGTCAACCAAGTTTTTGCTGGGCCCCAAATGGGCTGCTTGTTGCCTTTCTACCACACCTATTTTTCATTATACTATAGCTATCTTATGGTTCTAGCTCCTTCCTGGAACAGGCCTTGACAAATAGAGATGGTAAGCAATAGGATATAGTGGAGTATATGAGGAAGCCATTTGGTGTAAACCTAATTCGGCCTGACTTTGGTTTTTCCAAAAGGGCCTGACGTGGCCACTGAGCATGCATTGTAGATCTGCTTTAAACACGGCAAGAACGAAGGCCCTTAAGATAAAGGTGCAACTTCCGCCCACACTGGCATTTCCTTAAGGATAAGCATCTCTCCCTAGGCTAGGAACTGATTGTTGCGCTCACCTTTGAGCACCCAGCTCACCAGTGACCACCCAGCTAGAGACTACAGACCTGCCACCCTGCTGTGTCCACCGAGACAGCAGACCTACCGGCTGTGCCCATCAATCGCTGTGCCCACAGAGCAGCCTCACGACTATTGTAAAAGGGACATTTCAATCACACGTGAAACATCCTCTTTGGGGGTATACAACGACTCTGGACACCCCACTTCTTCGGCGCCCTTTCTTGCTTCGGGAAGGCTCTGGGCCACGGTCCTCACATTTTAGCTCAGAATATACTCACCCACATTTTCATTTACAGATTGGTTACGGATTATGTTCATCAACAGCCTTCTCCGTTAAATTCTTTTAAGCAGTTTGGCGGGAAGGTTAAATGTTCTTCCTGAGTCTGCCGAGCCTTTGTCCGTCTTCAGCTCGAATACCAGAGCGCCACGTCCTGGGGCAGCCTGTCTTGAACCCCGTCAAAACCCTGCCCGCAGCATTTTAACAAGTACAGGAAGAGCATTGAGACAGAAAGGAGACAGAAGAGAGAAGAAATTCTTGCAGAAAATACAGGATTTCAGCATTCGGGGAGAGGTGAAGGAAAAGGTCAGAAAAGACCAAGATCTAAGGCAGGAGGAAGTGACATGCCTTAGGTTTTGCGCTGAGCCGAAAAAGCACTGCAACTGAGCCTCGCTCAGTATGGCGCTGTTCGTGAAGACCGCCGAACAGCAGCACAAAACAAAGTGCACAATAAGCGAGAGAGACAGCTGAGGGACTACTCACACACACACACACACACACGCAGAACTCGAGCCTCAGTAAGTCTCTGCTAAACGAATTTTTTCCCTCGTTCAAGACACAGAACAGGAAAGCGAAAACAGAACCGTGGCGTACGCTTACGTCCTTCGCAAAACAGAAAATTAACCGCTCGCAAATCTTCTTTTATAAACCCTGTTACTCCCCCGTGGGGGTGCACCGTTCCTGGAAGTACTGCAATACCAAGTCGATGCGCGGAGTGGACGGAGCAAGCTCCTATTCCATCTCCCTGCTCCAAAAATCCATTTAATATATTGTCCTCGGATAGAGGACGTATCAGATATTAAACTGATAAGAACAGATACTACACTTGATCTTAGCCAAAAGGCCGAGAAGCGATACCCGCTACCCAGGCCTCCCCGCCGCCGGCCTCCTACCACGCACTTTCAACTCACGGTGAGTCGCCGCACGCTCAGCCCAGGTCTCACTTCCTTTGCTTCTGCGACAATACTCTGAGAATTCACCACACAGTCGGCTCTGGTGCAGATTTTCAATCCTCCGGATTTTTAAAGAGAATTTACCTACCTGTTGTTGCCCCGTCGTTCTGGGACGGAAACGCCATTCTGAATCTGCATGCCCCGCCCTCTCCCGCCCGAGGAGGCGTGGCTACGGCGGGTCCACCGTACCTCCCGGGCCGCCTCCGCGCGCCCTCAGCGGGAGCTGGGCTTCTCTTTCGTGCCAACGGAGAGAAGAGACAGCACCGCGGCCGCGAAGGCCGGGCGGCAAGAGGGCCTGAGGAAGGCAGCTGGCGGCGGACAGTTTCCCGAAGACACACGGGGTCGCGAGACGGCTTCACCGGAAACGCCCGGACTGTATCGTGTTACATCGGGTGTCCGCGGGCGGAAAGACGAGCTTGGGAGGCGGCGGAGGAGGGGCTCACCGACTCAGGGAGCCGAAGGTCTTGGGGACGTCCCCCGGAGCGGCGGGGCCAGCCTGCGCGCCGGGCGGAGGGCGGAGGGCGCAGGGCGGAGGGCGCAGGGCGGAGAGCGCAGGGCGCAGGGCCGGCGGTGGGGAGGGGCGGGGAGGCGTGTCTGGGGGCGGGGCGGCCGGATGGATTCTCTCCGCCTCCGGCACCTGCGTCTCTGGGTGCTTCTGCGGAGGAACCGTGTCCTGGGCTGTGTCCCTCGAGCTCCCCGTGCCTGGGACATGGTTTCCCTACAGCTCTTCCTCACCTGGCAGATACTCTGCACCCTGCTTGGCTGTCACTTCTTGCAGAAAGCCTGCCTTAAGGGCCCTGCCGCCCCCCGCCCCCAGTCTCGGTAGCGGCCTTCCTACGTATTTCATCCCACCCGGTAATTCATTTCGAGGGCACCGTTCACCACCCTTTCTGGCAATCCTTTGTCCCCGCCGCGGAAATCGGAGATCATCGAGTGCGGTGATCCTCATCAGTGCTTCTCTCTGTATCCCAGCACCGGTCCGGCGCCCCGCGGGTAGGAGATGCTCCGCAAAGGTTTGCTCGCTGAATTAAAGATGCGCAAGAGGGACTGAATCAGAGAAGAAGTTAGGAGGCTGCTGGCCCGATGCGGGGGTGAAGAAGGGAAGATCTGGCTAGGGGCGGCAGGACACCAGAGAGGAGAGGCGACTGCCGGGGATGCTCTGGGCATCAAGGCCCGTCGATGCGTTAAGGCCTCTGGCCAAGTTGGGGTAAAGGTTCCCCCTGTGGTGAAGACCGCCGGCTGCCCGCTCAGCCTTTCCCGTCCGCCCTCCTAAGAGAGGTTCCGTGTAGCGGGGGAGTTGATGTTGCTTTCATCTGGTCTCAGAAGAGCTAGGCGGTATCGTGGGTGTAAGACTGAAGCCCCGTCGGTCGTTTCACTCTGCAGCACGGGAAGCCTGATGGCAGGTGCTGCCCGAGCCCTCCGGATGCCAGCCCCTGGGCTGAGGGCTCTCCGTGTATTAGCGCAGTTAATTCCCTCGAGGGCCGAGGGCCGGTGAGGTGGGTATTGTTGTTGTCAGTATCCAGGGCCAGGAGTAGGGGGAGGCCGGGGAGGCATTCTCCTTGGGGGAGGGAGGGATTGACGGGAGTGCCCCCGCCCCAGTCTTCAGTGAGCAAGATAAATCATGTTTTACTTCTCTTTTAATAATATTTATTTCTCTTGATAAATAAATCTTCTCTTGATTATAAGATAATCGAGATATTTATCTTGACTACTGGGTCTTTGGCGCTCCCTTAAATCTTGTTGCCAAGGCGGGTGCCTCACTCGTTTTACTCCACTCTGATCCCCGCCTTGTTATTATCCACCCCGTCCTATTGACCTGAACTGTCACAGCCACGTGTAGCTCTGGAGCACTGGAAATGGGGTCGGTCCTATAAATGTGATTCCTGGAGATGGCTGGAAGTGTAAAATACACATGGGATTTCGAAGACTTAGTATACACGTTGTAAACACATTTAAAATCTCAGTTTTAAAAATATTGGTTACAGGGGCCGGCCCGGTGGCGCAGTGGTTAAGTTCACACGTTCCACTTCTCAGCGACCTGGGGTTCGCTGGTTGGGATCCCGGGTGTGGACATGGCACTGCTTGGCACACCGTGCTGTGGTAGGCGTCCCATGTATAAAGTACAGGAAGATGGGCACGGATGTTAGCTCAGGGCCAGGCTTCCTCAGCAAAAAGAGGAGGATTGGCAGTAGCTAGCTCAGGGCTAATCTTCCTCAAAAAAAAAAAAAAAAAAAAAAAAAAAATTGGTTACATATTGAAGTGATATTTGGATGTATTGAGTTCAATAAAATATTCAATGTAATTCACCTGTTTCTCTTTATTTTATTTTTTAACGTGGCCACACAGAAAATTTAAAATTACTCCCGTCACTGCCATATTTCTAGGGGAAAGCACGGTTCCGGACTGAAGCTCATAGAGGCTGAGCAACTTGCCTAAGGTCACACAGCTAATTCGAGGCGGGGGCAGGATTGGAACTCGAGCAGCCCGTTAACCAATTTGGGCCTCCTTTTTTTTAAACTACAGAAAGGGGATCATGATAACAGCTCTCCGCTTCGGGGACTTGTGAAGCTACCCGTGGAAACGACAGGCATATGGGAATCTCGTGATAAGTGCGCTCTAGGAAAAGTCCCCGCCCGTCGGTCACATGGAGAGAACATCCGTTTTACGGTGTTGTGAAGAGTCTTCCCCTGCCCGCCCTGGGCATTCCTGCTTCCCGTCCCACTTTCCCTGGCTTTATTTTCCTGCCAGCTGCCGAGTCGTTCCGGACACCCGCGATCATCCCACGGCACAGAGAGGGCTACAGACACGGCCGTGCGGGCACACAGGCGCACAGTTAGATTCACAACTGCACCGACGGTGTTGGCCTATCTGCTTCTCGCCCTCGACGGCAGAGATTCTGTTTGCTCCTCCGTCCCCAGCACCTGGGACGGTGCTCGGCACGGCCTTGGCGCTTGAGGAATATTTGTGGAAGGAAAGAAGGAGGGTCAAATGAGACGACATCTCATGTGCTCAGCCTGCACCTGACACGACTCTTCTGGCCTCCCCATCCCAGGATCCCTGTTCAGCTCTGCGTGTCTCAGACCATCTTCTGCTCGGACTTTGGTTTCCCTGAGAAGGGGGTTGCTGCGGTCTGAACCCCGCTACCGTCTGTTCATCTCTCGCGGGCCTCCTCCTTGTCCTGCCTGTTCTCCTGGCCGTTGGGGCAGGTGTCTTAGTCTCAAGCCTGGGTCGGCAACTCCCCGAGGGCAGGAACGGTGTCTGGCCCGTCTCTGCTCCCAGCTCCCACCCAGGTGTGTCACATCACGTTACAGGTGATCAGTGACAAAACAAGAATACTTGCGGGGTCGGAGGGGGGGGCGCCCCATGGCCGAGTGGTTGAGTTCTCATGCTCCGCTGCAGGCGGCCCAGTGTTTGGTCGGTCGAATCCTGGGCGTGACATAGCACCGCTCATCGAGCCACGCTGAGGCGGCGTCACGTGCCACAACTAGAAGGACTCACAACTAAGAATATACAGCTATGTACCGGGGGGGCTTTGGGGAGAAAAAGGGAAAAAATAAAATCTTGAAAAAGGAAAAAGAATACTCACGGGGCCGGCCCCGTGGCCGAGTGGTTGAGTTCGCGCACTCCGCTCGGGCAGCCCAGGGTTTCGCCGGTTCGGATCCTGGGCACGGACATGGCACCGCTCATCAAACCGTGCTGAGGCGGCGTCCCACGTGTCACAACTAGGAGGACCCACAACTAAAAAAAAAAAAGTACAACTATGTGCCGGGGGGCTTTGGGGGAGAAAAAGGAAAATAAAATCAAAAGAAAGAAAAAGAAAAGGGATACTTGCAACCCAAAGCACGGAAAAGCACTTTTTCTTCCTAACACATAAAGAGCTCTCGGAGACAAGTATAAAAGACCAACTGAACAGTGGAGAAGAAATGAGGAAAGGCCAGGCACGGACAGTTCATGAAAAGAAAAAGTGGTTCTTCTTTTTTCCCCAAGATTTATTTTTCAGGGCGGCCTGTGTCACAGTGGTTAAGTTCACACGTTCTGCTTTGGTGGCCTGGGGTTCGCCGGTTTGGATCCCGGGTGTGGACCTACGCACCGCTTGTCAAGCCATGCTGTGCCAGGTGTCCCACATATAAAAAAGGAGAGGAAGAGGGGCACAGATGTTAGCTCAGGGCCAGTCTTCCTCAGCCAAAAAGAGGAGGATTGGCAGCAGGTGTTCGTTCAGGGCTAATCTTCCTCAAAACAAAACGAAACACAACGTTAAAAGGTTTTATTTTTCCTATTTCTCCCCAAAGCCCCCCGGTACATGCTGTCCTCGTGTGATGCAGATGGAACAAGTTCTCTGGGGCCTCTGCTTCTAAGGGGACTAATCCCAGCCCGACGGCCGTGCCCTCAAGACCTCGTCTAAACCTAACACCTCCCAAAGGCCTCACCTCCAAATACCGTCACGGTGGGGTTAGGGCTTCAGCGTACGAACTTTGGGGGACACGGTTCAGTCCCTCACACCCACTCAACCTGAAACTGCCTCCTGATAAGGTCACGGAGGATTCGCGTGCACATTCGAGCTGGAGAGGCAGTGCCGGAAGGCACATACGTTGGAAGAGAAGCGGCAGTCGGGGGTCAATTCGTACGTGTCCCTCTCTATGCTATCTGAGGAAGATATCCCACATTAAACGGGCTTCTTGGGCCAACGCTTTTTGTCATTGGTTGCGATAAACTCAGTGCCCACCGTTAGTACAGCTGCCACGCATAGAGGACTTGGCACAGGTCAAGGCCTTTGCTGAGTACTTCACACGTTTTGCCTTATTTAATTCTCATAATACCCCCATGAGATAAATGTTACCATCCCGTTTTTACCGATGAAGAGCTTGAGGCTGGGAGAGGAAAGTAACTGGCCCAAGGGCTCACCGAGAA